ACGTGCACATGTGTGTGCCATGGGTCTGCGTGTGCCTAGATGCTCCTGCATGTGTCGCTGTCATGCTCGCCCTGTGCAGTGAAGGGCTGAGGGAGCAGGGGGCCCTGCCTTGGTCTGGCCAGTGGCCCGAGCTATCTGCCGGACGTGTGTGTGTGTGTGTGAGTGTGTGTGTGTGTGTGTGAGTGAGTGAGAGGCTGCGCCTGCCTGGACCCCAACTCACCAAGCCTCCCGAACAGCTCCACTCCCAGGGCAGCATAGATAAAAAACAGGAGCATGAAAAGTAGGCCGAGGTTCCCTACCTACACAGGAGAGAAGCAGAACCAGGTCAGGCCTCAACCCGCCTGCTGTGCCATCAGTGCTGGCGCCCACCAGCCACCCTCACCCCCAGTCCTTGCCAGGCAGGAGGTCAAGTTCCCAGTGAGGTGTGAAGCCTCGTTCTTAACCCACCCTCCTTGGCCCTGGCTCCCATGGTCCCTAGGGGCTCCCTGTCCTGCCTGGTGCTCAAGGCCCCTCCTTGGCCTTTCATGCCCACCCTGCACCCCGGACCACCCCTGCCTCCAGTACCTCTGCTCCCCAGGACCTAGGAGGTCCCCAAGGCTCTGGCAGACTCTGCGTAGGGTCTGCCTCCAACCTCGGGGCCCCCATAGGGAGGCCAAGGCCGAGGTTCTACCAGGAATCTCACCAACGCACCCTCCCAGCACTTACGCTGCCCTCCAGGCAGGGTGCCCTGTCTTCACATACCTCTGGTGCCCCTGACACTGGGGCATGGCCAGGCCCAGGCTTCCCTCCCCTCCTGTCACTCCCACAGGCACAAAGGGCTGGTGGGCGCATGGTGTGTGGACAGACAGGCATGTGGGTGAGTAGGTGACTGAGAGAGAAGGTGCTAGATGGATACGCAGCTGTGGGGTGAGTGGCTGGCTGGGTAACAGACAGAGGGACACATGGGTGGTTAGGTGGACGGATGGCTGGCCGAAAGAGAACCATGACAGAGGGACACATGGCTGAACAGGCTGGGTTGGTCGTAGAACTGGACACTGCAGATGGGGCAAAGGGATTCTTTCAGTTCAAGAGGTCACAAAGGGTCAGCGTGGGGACTGCGGACACAGGAAGTGAGGACACAGGGCCTGAGTTAGCTCCAAAGGAGGAGCGAGGCCTTCAGCCAACACCCGATCTTTGGGTTTCTCGGAACTCAGACCACCTTGGCCATGTCCCCCGCCCTCATCCCACTGCGCCCAGTGCTGGACCGGGGCAGGCAGGCACTGGCCGTCCATCTTCCCCAGAGGGACTGGGGCCCAGCAGGCAGACAGCCATCTCCCTCCCAGCACAGCTACCGCTTCCTGCACATGTCGGGGTGATAAGTGTGGTTATCACAAGTGCAGATGCCTGACTGCCTGCATGAATGAATGACAACGAGCAGGGCCTTGTCTTCTTGGCAGCCGTGCGCTTACCTGGGGCAGGGCTTGAACCACCGTGTCCAGCAGGGCCCGCATGCCTGTGGCCATCTTGAGCAGCTTCAGCACTAGGGCCAAGAGCCGAGCGTCAGGGCCTGGTTGGGGCTGGGCCAGTCTGACCCTCCCCAGCTGACCGGGCCCCAGGACCACCCACCCCTGACGTTCCTGTCACCAGCACCAGCCCCCCGCTGAGGCCTTGGGGCACCGTGAGGGGGGGTGCCTACCGCGGGCGATGCGGAGCACACGCATAATGCGGATGAGGGTGGGGTTGATGGGCAGTGCCGCACTCATCTCGATCTCCTCCAGTGTGATGCCCATGATGGACAGCAGCACGATGGCCAGGTCCAGCTGGTTCCACCTGGGCGCCAACTGGCTCAGTGTCATGCTGCTCCCCCGGCCCCCCTTCCTTATCAACCTGGAAGCGTCTGGCTGCAGTCAGGGGCTAACCTTGTATCATCTGGGAGGTATCTACAGGCATGCCTTGTGTCACCCCGGGTGCATCCCACACCCCCCGTCACTTTGCAGACAGAAGGCTGGGACCACCAGGAGGGCGGGCTGTGGCTCCCACCTGCTCCCTCCCCCAAGAGCACCATGGGTCCTTCAGGGCACCCGGTGGCCCCCACCCCACATACCTGTCCTTGAAGAATCTCCGCAACCCAAACGCCACCAGCTTCAGCACAGCCTCAATGACGAAGACGATGGTGAACACGTAGTTGCAGTACTTGAGGGCCTCGTCCAGCGACTGTGGACAGAGTGTCAGGCTGTGGCGGTCACCCTGCCTGGGCTGCCCCTGCTCCTCCTCCTCCATCACCACCCACCATGGCACTAGGCACCCAGTGCCTGGGTCCTGGCCACCCTGCCCCATCTCTCTCCTGTACCAATCTGGGTGCCTCCAGGCCGAGGACAGGTATGAGGCCCGGCTACTGAGCGTTTACTATTGAGGCCTGCGCCAGGTCTGGGAGGCATCACCTGGACCGATCCTTGCAGCATTTTCAGGTCCACTCTCAGGTCGGGGGAACCTGCCCCTCTGAGCCCAGACCCCTGGCCCTGCCTTGCCCAGGCCCCACCCACAGTCTGGGGCAGGGGCCAGCCCTTGCCAGCCAGAGCTCAGCCTCCTGAAGAGCTGAGTGGGTTCCGACTCCAAGGCTGTGATACCCTGAGACTCCTCCCTTCCCGTGGAGGGGGCGGGAGAGGCGGTGCCCTTTCTTTAATGAAATGATGGCGATGCAGATGTAACTGGAGTGAAGCAATAAGCTGACCATGTATGCCCGCCCGTCTCCTGCCAGCTCTTTCTGTCCGGCTGTTTCCTGGACCGTGAAATCTACAGCCTGGGCAGCTGGACTCAGGGACATTTCAACAGCCAGAGTTTCAAGATGGAACCACTTGGGGGGGCGGGGGAGGGCTCTCTGGGGCAGGTGGCCCTGAGAGTTTCAACTGATGTTAAAAGGAGGACCCTCTGTTCAAACCACAATTCACAAACCCAAGTGAGGGCTCACCCAGGGCTGTAGACCTAAGACCTCCCAGTTCTTGGGGTAGCGCCTCCTGACCAGGCCACGCACTGGGGGCCGGACCCCCCTGCCCCCGTGGCACCCTGGGGCTCATCTCCCACACAGGTCCTGGGCAGGGTGGGCAGGGTCTGGCACCCTGAGCCCCACCTTGGGCTGGTCGTAGTGCTCCATGGACATGGTGATGACGTTGACCCCGATGATGAAGGTGATGAAAAGGTCGAGGTAGTGGCTGGTGCACAGCGAGTGGATGGAGCGGCGGGTGGGCGAGTAGTCAGCGTAGTAGGGCCGGCGCTGGGCCTCTGCAGGGAGAGGGCGCCTGTGACCAGGGCTAGATGGTGGGGTGGGGCGGGGGAGGGCCCCGGGCTCAGATGTGGGGGGTTTGCAGGAGGGTGCGGGAGGGGTTTCTCTCAAGAAAGGGGGCCCATTTAGGTAAGAGGTAGCTCCCTGTGAATCTGGATCCTGTTGTCTGATGGACAACCCAGGGTGGGAGGTCTGGGCATGAGTGGGCCTCAGGGGCAGGCCCCCCACCGACTCCCTTAGCTGTGGGGGGGCGGGCAGCCTCAGGAGTGGCCCTGGAAGCTGAGACTCGACCTGGCCCTGTCTTGGGGCCCTGCCCTGACCCTGCTCTGCCAGGGGCTCCCACGTTGGGGCCTTCAGGGTATGCTCCTGGGCTGGCACTGGGGTTCAGAGACACTCAGCAGATGGGAGCTTTCTTAGGGGGCAGGGTCACCTCCTCTCCCCCCACCCCCGTCTGGGCATGAGCTGTCCTCTGGCCACCAAGCCCAGAGTCCCTCCCCTCCTACTCTTCCAAGTGGCCAGTGGCGACTGCCTCTGGTCTGGGGCCTGCCTGGCTGCTGGCCCATCCGATGGCCATCACCTGGGGAGCCATGCATCCACCAGCTGGTCTGTCTGCACTAAATGCTCTCCCTGCAGTAACCCCCTCAGGGCGTATCAGTGCCCCCTGAGCTCCCACTGGGCGAGGACATAGCTGCCACCACTGCACACGAGGACTGCCTCAGCCACAGAACCATGCATGGATGGGGGCCGGGGGGCAACTGTCCCAGAGCCTGGGAGAGCAGGGCCTATGGACTGACCCCGACCTGGGACCCTCATGCTCCTAGGTCTGGCATGCGGTTACTGAAGAGGTCGGCTCAGCTCGAGCAGCCAAAGGGGCCGGCAGCCAGCAGGGCCAGGCCAGCGCTGAAGACATGGAACAGCCACGAGCTGGCAGGATCCCAGAGCACGGCAGGGAAGCAGCCAGGCATGCAGGCCGGGCAGAGGGACACACGCAAGCTTGCAGGCAGCGGCCTGGACACCAGGCAGGGAGTGGACACCCCTCCCCCCCACTGACGCCTGGCGCCCAACCCTGGCCGTCCCATCCCCACCCTGCAGCAGACCCCAGCAGGCCTGGCACCCGCCTGCGATGTCTGCCCTTCCACACGGGCGGAGGCCAGGCCAGCCTGCAGCCCCGTGCAGGGGCTGGCAGAAGCAAGGGGCTTAGGCATGCGGGGTGGGGGGCAGATACCTGGGTTGGGCAAAGTGCCTGGAAAGACAAGGAGATGGTCTGAGCTGGCTGCGGTGGGCGGGACACTCAGCGGCCCCCTCCTGCAGGAAGCCCTCCTTGCTTGCTCCCAAGCTGGGTAGGGCCTCCCTAAGAACCCCTCTCTCTCTCTCTCTCTGTCTTGGACAACTTTGCTAGTTTCCCCACCCTCGTGGCCTAACTCATGGATGTGAACCCTTTTCAGTGGTGACGGTGAGTGAGAACTGGGGTCTCATTCATCTCCTGTGCCACTTGGGTGGGGACCCCTGCTGCAGCTGCCCTCCTCTGCCCGGCTCCCCCTGGAGGGCCCAGCCACCATGCAGGCCCAGGCAAGGCGGGCAGCGTGCAGAGCCACTTGGCGAGGCTGGGGCTGGGAGGCCGAGGGGAGCAGGGCCAGGCAGGGCGCTCCAGGTGCCCACTGCACTCGAGTGCAAGGGAGACCCAGCCTCAAAGCCCGTCACTCGGCTTGTCCCTGCTGCCCCTGCCGGCCACCACCCGCCCACAGGCGCACAGGTACCGGCCCACCACCGCCGCGGGGAGCGCCTTACTCCTGCGCTTCCTCTCCAGGCGCCGCTGCCGCTTCTCCTCGCGCCGCCGCGCCTCCTCGGCCTCCTGGTGCTG